AAACAGCCATAAGAATCAGAAAAATCTGTTCACAAAGCCTTTTGTTCTTAACAAAAGTCAACAATTAAGTCAAGCATGGTTGTTGCCATTTGTTTTTTTGTTATCACACCATATAAACTTACACCTGCTAAAGAACAACTTGTTACGCCAAGCCCCCGGAGGAATTGGCATTCCACCTCGCATTCCAGCAACCCATTATCCCAATTAGCCCATTTACCCCTGCCTATTTAATGCTGCTTCACACTCTCCACTGTATTAGGTATTCCTAAGTATTAAGGTTCTTACTGGCTAGAGCTACTTCGATCCTTGTGGTTATTTACTACTTGGTTTTTGGCTTCCTGATCCTGGTTTGTTTTCGACTACGTCTCCTGGTTTTTGGTTTTGATTCAAGTTCTGGTTTTGACTCACAACTTCCTCATGGTTTACGGCTTCATTTTCTGGTTTGTACTTTTGCTCCGGCTTATCTACCTTCGGCTTTCGGACCTCGGATTCTTCTTTCAACTACGCCTCTGGAGATCACCCTGGGTTTCTGCATAGGGTCCTCACTACTAATTCCTAATAGAATACTGAGCCATTAACATGGACCCTGCAGAAGGTGATGAGATTTGTGGCATTCTCTCACAACATTCTCATGGGTTGACTCAGTGGCAGGCTTCAATCCAGCAGGTTACTGCTCACCTGGCTAATATGTCAACACAGCCAGCCACAGCAGCGGCAGTCCCAATAGTGCTACCGGAGGATGTTCCCGCAGCTTCCCCTTCTTCCTGAGTAGCACCGTTTATCAAGCCGGTAACATATCGCTTAGCCTTCCCTCACTCATTGAAGATTCACCCCACTTTTCACATTTCCTTTCTCAAACCTTTCCGCAGATCTCCCCTTTCTACACCCAAGCTAGAGCTACCATTTGGTTGTGGTGAGCCTGATTTGGGATCCAAACTTTTTAAAATCCCAAATGCAATCTTAAAGGAATCAACATCTCACTGGGGCAACACTCTAGGAAATAAATTATATATCAGTGAAGTACACAGAACAATTTTTAGAGTTCTTTTCAGTACAGAAATATTTGGTCAAATGCTAGTTCTAGAGACCATGACAAGTTGACAGTTGTAAAAAACTGAATAGTTGTTTTAAAAACGTTGCATCTTCAAATTTGACCTATGCAGTAATTAAATATCTCGTGTGTTGTTATCTCATCTTGAAACCAGAAAGAACTATAACCAATGCACTAATCAAGCTCCCAAGGCACTCTCTATACCCAGTAAACATAGGTCTAACCTCACCCAAGGAGAAAATCAGGCGCTCCAGTCTCTCCGCAACAGGGATGATATCGTCATCAAACCAGCGGACAAAGGAGGTGCTGTTGTGGTGTGGCGTAAGGATCTAAATATCTTTGAAGCCTCTAGACAACTAACTGACACTTCTGCCTACCTCCCTCTCCAACAGGACCCTACCACTGACTACCAAAAGGAAGTGGTATCCACCATTTCTCTTCTAATCAGCAGTAATGAGCTCCCCCAGGAGGCAAACCGGCTCATCATGGAACATCCACAGGTATCTCAATTTTACCTCCTCCCCAAAATCCACAAACTGGACACCCCTGGACGCCCCATAGTATCAGCATGTAACTGTCCAACTACTTACATCTCAGCCTTTCTCGACAGCCTCATGGGACCGCTGGTTGAAGATATTCCCTCATACATCAAAGACACCAACCACGCGCTCCAACTTTTTAATGATTTCCAATTTCAGGGTACTGAATGCCACATTTTTACCATGGACATCACATCTCTGTACACCGTCATTCCCCATAATGACGGCCTTACAGCCCTCAAGCACACGCTGGACAAACACACAGTGCTTGATCCACCCACCCACACCCTGGTACCCCTTGCAGAATTGGTGCTCACACTGAATGCATTCTCTTTCAATAATCTTTTTTACCAACAGGTCAGTGCAGTTGCCATGGGCACCAGAATGGGACCTAGCTATGCCAAAATTTTTGTCGGCTGGGTAGAAGAACGCTTCTTCGCTTCCTACACTGGCTATATCCCTGACCTCTACAAACAATATATTGATGACTGCGTCGGTGCCGCCACATGCTCCAACGATCAGCTTGAATTCTTCCTGCACCATTTCACCAACTTCCACCCGTCCCTTAAATATACGGTTAACATATCTTCCACCACTCCTCCGTTTCCACTTGTCTATCAACTACCCCCGACTGTCCACTTCAGTTTATTACAAACCCACGGATTCACACAGCTACCTCCTGTACAGCTCATTGCACCCCAACCATACTAAAAACTCTCTTCCTTTTTCACAGTTCCTTAGGTTACGACGATTATGCAGCGACAGCAGTGTGATTGACAGGGCCCTTGCCCAAGCCAAAAACACCCCCCGGGCCATCAACCCGATCAGGAACTCCCGCCATAACAACCGCATTCCTTTGGTGCTTCCTTACCACCCTAACACACTTCCTATCCCCAGGACCATGAACCAGAACTTTTCCATCCTACAGGATGATCCCTCCATTGGGGCCCTCTTTTCTGATCGCCCTATCATCTCATATCGCCGACCACCTAATCTGCGTAACCTCCTTGTTCACAGCTCCCTTGACCGCCCTCAACAACCATCCACACCAGGAACTTTCCCTTGCAACAGAGCTCGCTGTATCACCTGCAAGTACACAGCCACAACCACACTCATTCAAGGCCACTTAGGACAATTCGGGATCACCCAGACAGCATCTTGTACCTCCAGCAACCTTATTTACTGTATCTCTTGCAGTAAATGCCCAGCCATCTACATTGGAGAAACAGGAAGGAGACTTGGAGACCGCTTCAGGGCTGTGAAGATTAAAGATCTCTCCAAACTTCTCATTGGAAGTTTCATTTCACACCTCTCTGCACCCATTCTGACTTCACACCTCTTGATTGGCCTCTCTTTCTGTCCCCTGCTCCCACCTCTCACTCCTCCTCCCTTCCAACCTTTGTTCTCCCGCTACTTTACCTTTGCCTACTGCCCTGTCTCTCTCACACCTGAAGAAGGCTCCATGGCCGAAACATGTGTTCTCTTTCTTCTTTTTTTCAGCATGGAATAAACCTATTACTTGTTCCTTTGCAACACTATAACATGCTGAGCAGCTTTGCAATTCTGCTTCTAGAGGTAGCCTGACAGTATAGCTGACAGTGAAAAGGGATAATAATAAAGGATAATAAATGGTGGCCAAATGTGTTACAATACTATGCATGCTTTAATATTACCACTAGACTAAACATGATGTGAGAATTTCAAGCTTCATGTTTGATAATAAGATATAGGGAGTCTGTCTCTGTCACAAAGCTTAGACACAGTTCAAGGGGAGAAGCAGGGGTTAGTAAAGTAGAGAAAAGGGCATCCGGACTGCACGGGGGAACCGAGGTGGCCAACTGGGTTGGCTGGCTCGGCAGCCTCTGGGGCATGAAAACATGAACACCCCTGACTCGCGGAGAGTTGCTTGAGAGGTGCTGCCTCACGACTGGGAGCTGGGCCCTCAGGGGTAGGGAAGGAAGAGGAAGACGCCCCTGACTCGCGGAGAGTCACTTGAGAGGCGCTGCTCCACAACTGGGAGCTTGGCCCTCAGGGGATAAAAAAAAAGGAAGAGGAAGACTCCTCTGACTCCATTAAGGGTTGCTTTGAGAGGAGCTGCCTCACGACCAGGTGCTGCCCTTAGGGAACAGAAAAGAGGAGACGGCCCCTTGACTCTCTGAGAGTGACATGAGAGGCCCTTCCTTAAGACTGGGAACGAATCCCTCAAGGGGGAAGAGAAAGAACCTGTGACTGGAGGAATCACTTAAGAGGCGCTGCTCGAGGGGATGATAATGAAGAGAAAACTGCTCCAAAAGGAAGCGAAAGAAGTCCCCTGACTTGCTGAGAGTTGCTTTGAGGTGCTGCCTCGCAACTGGGATAAACCCTCAGGGGACCAAGGGAATGAGAATTAGTAAGTTAGAGTTCCCGGGATTAATGTGGCTGGGTGTCCCCTCTGGCTCATGCTTGAGAACCTCCCCAGAAAGGGTCAAGGTGGTCCTTGACCACCTTGACCAGGGCTGCAATCCTGAGGTCAGGGAAGTGAGTTTCACTTACTCCCCCAGAGGGAACCTGGATGCAAAGGCAACAGGAATGAAAGAGGAGGAGGAAGGAATTCAAAAACTCTAGATTTGTGTTTTAGCAGGGTTAGGGTTTAAATAGGAAAGAGATAATTGAATGATAGAGGAAGGGGCGGAGCACCCTCCACTTCTCCCCAAGAACTCCACCTGTCAGTTTCCATTTAATGTGAGCTGCAATATGTGTTTATTTATTTCAATATACAGTATTAAACCAACTATTAGCATTGTAACGCTTACGGCCAACAGGCACTGTGTAAGAGCCGGCGTACCAGAGCAGGTGACGTCACCGCCCTTCCCTATGATAGCAGGACTACAGCTACTGGGCTGAAGAGCCCCCGTTGCGTTACAGCATACATAATGTATATATTATTTTACAGGTGGAAACAGTTAAAACAGGGATCTGGTTGGGTATGAAATGATAGCTTTATTTATAGAAATACATCCAGAAGAGTGAGAATCAGATCAAAATGGAAAGAAAACAAAAAGGTCCAATAACATAACAAAGAAATGCATTTAGAGCTATAGTCTCTCAGTGAGTCTTCACAAATAAAGAGCAGTGAAGGAATTTAAATCAGGAGGTGGGTCCACAGAACAAGTTGATTGGCTAGCTTACCATGCATGGAAGAGACAGGAATGCATCTCCATTCTCATGCTGCCAATCAGACTGTCATTTTTTTTCAGTTAGGGCATGTTAGTTTGCCAAATACTGTTCCTTCACTCCAAGGTGAAGGCCAGTCTCAATGAAGGGATTTTCAATATCCAATATTGTTGACGTTACACAGAATAAAAATGAGTTCTGAAAGATATCCTTTTTTACAATAGTTCATTTTTATTATATATATATATTATGGGAGAGATATGTCTTTTCATACAACTTGTTTTGTGTCTTAACAATAATGAATGAAGTACTGTAAGTCAACTATAAATATAAATTGTCCCTCTGGATTTATAGTGTCTGCAACAGAGACAATAACATATTTAAAAGATAAAATTAACAACCAGGCAAAAAACAGTTAGTGTTGTCATCTAACTAGAAGTCACAGTAAATTGCAATTACTTTGCTTTCCTGTGTTTGTACAGTAAAACAATTGTGAGGCAATTATGAGTGCAAATTTAGTGACAAAACAACTATCCACTTTACATGTAGCAATAGTCAAAATTCACTCATATTTTTTAATGAAACTCTTCATGGGGGCATTGCAAGACATCCAGAATGTTTTTGGACCATTTTTTTCTGTCTCATATTTGTAACATACTATAGCAAAACAATCCTAAACCTTTGCATTGCTTCTTTCACGTTGTACTGTGGATTTTTTAACTTTTTATGAAAATGATAAAAACCACCAGTCTTCCTGCAAAAGCTGCAAAATATGTACACATACTATATAATAATTTCATGAGACTTCAACACAAAATACTTTGTTGGTGCCAAGTATATATACTGTACAGTATATATTTCCCATAAAAGAATCGTGTAAGAACATTTAGATTTCTGAGGTTCCAGGTGCTTAATTGGAGCACAGGTGTCTCTCTATAGTACAGATTTTGGCTGTACTCCCTTGAGTTTAGGATATGTCACTAGCAGGAATTATTGGGAAATGTCGTTAATGCAATTACTGCTATTCCCCAATTGGCAATGGATGCTTTTTTGAGTTACAGTATATGACTGAGAAGAATGCGTTGACCAGAGTATTGTCTTCTTGCTGAGCAAGTCCATTGGCTTATTAGGTGCATAAGAGCGTGGAGTGTTGTCAATGAGAGACGCATCGCTACCTCTCCCCCAGGTGCTCCTGTGGGATAAGCAATGAACAAAATGATAGATGACACTGACTAGAAAATCTTTTTGTGGATTATGCACATGAACCTTATCACTTGGATGTTAGCATTATGGCTATAGAGTAAACCCAAGTTAACTAACAGTTGGCAATTCCAAATCAGGCACAAAGCAAGACTTTGTGAGAAAGATGAATTTGTTTTTTATTTGACGAGTCAACCCCCCTTGTCATTTGCTGTTTGTCTGGTTTCATATAATTTGTGATGATAATAATAAGAACAAATAAATAAACATCTTTTTATTTAATTAACTCAATAACTTAAACTCAGGCAGGTGATAAAAACAGAAAATACAGTCATTATCTTAAAGAGATATTTTCATTCTGAAAAAATACTTTCATTTCCTGTTTGAACAATATTTTATGTCATAATAAGGCAGTATTCTGGGAATTTAGTAGGCTTTATTTTGTTTGAAAATTACTGTTAAGTACTGATACTATTCATCAAGTTGGTTTTAAAGTTTTTTTTTACATCGTAAAAAACATTATGATGCAAAATATTGAGTTATTAATTTTTAATGTTGCATTACTGTGTTGTGTTTTTGCTACATACAGTATATTACCTTATTTCGTTTCACAACCCAAGATAAGCAAGACTCCTAAGTATCTATTCCTCAAAGAACATCCTAATATTATTGCTTACAGGTGTCTGTGAAATCACTGGATTATGTAAAGTATTGCAAATAATTGGTTATAAATTTCATGTTAGAATATTAACAAAAACAATGGTAAAGTGTTACATTGTTATTATTCGTATAATTATTAATCTTATTATTATTATTATTATTATTAGTAGTAGTAGTAGTAGTAGTAGTAGTAGTAGTAGTATTATCACTAATGTACATCTGCACTACTATCAATTTTCAGTCTTCTTGTCCTGTTGAGGTTTATGGAAAAGAAATACTTCATTAATTATAATTGTTTTTAGAATCAGCCATATTTTTAAAACTGTATTTAAACCAATTACAATTGTAAACATGATTTATAATAAAGGAACGATGTCATTAATCATAATAAATCATCATAATCATCATAAAATCCTAAGAGTGTTACCAGATAAATTACATTTCATTTGAGGTTGTATTTGTATGAACATTTTCTCTTGAGTGGAATTAAAGTGGATAAGGAAACCACTTTCCTTGAGGAAGGATGTTATCAATGCCATCATCTAACTAGAAGTCAGAGTGAATTGCAATTACTTTGCTAAAAAACCTCAGGACACTAACTTCAGGAATGTAGTTGTCTGGAGTAAACTTTGTTCCTTTATTTCCGTCCCCAAATAAACTGAATGTAATTTCCAAAAACTAAGGTACTGAGACAATATTTATTCTATTTTTCATGAAACTGATGTGTTTAAGCAGATTTTAACTTTTTGGAACTGCTTTAAAAATAGAGATCTGAACCACAGTTTTGAAAACTTTAATACTTATGATTTTATAGAAAAAAAGCATTTTGGATCTAAATCTTTCATATAAATCTTACTCCCAAGCACCCCATTAACTAAGATGAAGGTGCATTAGTTAACTTTTTTATTTTGGGGACAAATACCTCCTTTAGCATGTGCATGGAATGTTGTTTCAGTAGTCTAAAATATTAATAGCTCTATCAACACTACTTTAGAACTCCTCTACAAACAGGACACTCATGCAATTATTTCAGGTGAAAATTATTATGGAGTGAATAGATGAAGTGTGTGAATGAAGCATGATTATAATTATAAATGAGATATACAATTATTACATTATTAATTATATTTATTTTATAATTATTAATTTCAATTCTTTAAAAAGACTTAATGATTAATAATGATTGTGCAAAAAACCACAACATTTACAATAAATGTATTTTAAACTTCTTTACTTCATACTAATCATGTAAATAAAAAGAATAACTTCCATGAATCCAGCATCACTATTTAGGAAGATTTCATGCATTTATGTACTATTTGTTAATAGTAAACAGCTGAACTGGATTACGAATAGTTGCTATTCCTGTTATCAATTTAAAATTTGTCAACCACACAATGGCATTGTGTTATTCAAATTGTTCGATAATAAATCCTTATAAAACATTTGACATCTCCAGGACTATTTTTAGGTTCAGAATAACATTATATTTATTATTTATATTTATCGGGAGAAAACAGAATTAATTCAGTTTTGTATTAATAATTTTGGCGCAGCTGAATTCTGCTTTCAATCAATAGATTAGTGTTTCTAGATGGTATCACTCATTATATTTTCTAATAAAATACTATTTAGAATATCACCCCAATATTACCATTCTGGGAACGTTTAATTTGAGCACGAAATTTATGACTCATAATATTCCACTGGCATCACAAAAAATACAAGGTAGTCATGAACTCCTTTTCCCTACTTTTAACTAAGCTCTCCAAAACAGAACACTGCTGTGAGAACTACAGTATAGCAGTTCTACTTGAAACCACTCATTTTACAACAGTAAAGAGCTTTCTGGCTAGATATTTTTGCTGAAGTATTCCAAAGCTCTCACTACTCTTCAGTAGACAATTATAGATATATTATAGCTAATATGCCAGAGTTAAGTGTACTTGTAGAGGTCTAGACTGGTGTGCAAATGCATTTGCAGCATTCTAATATGAAAGGTGTTATTGAAATGTGTTAAGCGTGCCAGCAATAAGTCGGAATTGTGCTGCAATGACACTGTACATTAAAGAGCACCCTAAATGTAATATTCTCCTTACTCCACACATGCTAGAGTTTCATTCAGAAAGATAAAAGTGCAGCAATCTTACCTCAGAAACTGTTTTTACCTCCGGCAATGTGTGTCAGCACAAAGGTCTCGGTACAGTGCTGGCTGCTGGATGACAGGGATCTGCGAGGGGACCTCTGGAAACGGTTCCTGCGGTTGAAATAGCTGCTAGTGGCCCAGGCCTTTTGTCGTTTCCGTAGGTATTCTTTGTAGTTCTTGGTGAGCAGTGTGTAGAGGAAGGGATTGATGCAGCTGTTACTGTATGTCAGGCAGGTAGTCAAGTAATTAATGTTCTTCTTAGCCTTGGAGGAAATAGGGAAGGAAGGATGGAACTGGTCTAAAAGTTGCCATATCCAGAATGGCAGGAAGCATGCCCAGAAGAGTAAAACAATGGTGAAGATTAGATAGAGGACCTTTTGGTTGGGCAATTTCTTGGTTTGCTTGAAGGTGGCTGTCTGGGAGATCCAGTAAGTCCTTGCCAGGCGGATGTAGAGGTAGCCTATGATCACGCCAGGGGCAACAATGCTGGTGCAGAAGAGGAAGGAGATATATGTCTTATTAGAGAGTGGGCTCAAAGTTGGGAGGCAGATATTCTTATCACCAATTTTCACCAGCTGAATGCTTATGATCATTGGCAATGTGAGAATAAAGGAGGCCACCCACACCAGGAGGGCAATGGCTTTCCTGTAGCTCTTGGACCTCTTGACAGTGTCTAAAGGCTTGAGGACAGCAAAGTACCGCTCGGTGCTCATCACAGTCAGTGTGAAAATGCTGGCATGCATAGTGAGGAAATCCAGACTGAAGAGGACTCGACAACCCACTTCCCCAAAATACCAGCCTTTGATAAAATAGGTGCAGACAATGAAGGGAATAGTGAGCAGGTAAAGGAGGTCAGCCAGAGCCAAGCTGATTATATATGTGTACATGGATGCAGCTGACCTCATGGAGTGGCACATCACCACCAAGGTGTAGACATTGCCTGTGATTCCAATCAGGCACATTAAGGACAGGATGGCCCCGATGGTGAAGATGGCTGCTATATCCTCCAGTGAATTGGATCCCTGAGGATCTGTGGTGGTTCCATTGATGGAACTGTTTGTGATCTGCTCCCCCAGCAAGAGATGCTCATTGGATTCTGTGGCCATTGCCAGAAAAGTGCAAATCAGAACTTCTTCAGCGCGGTCAAAACATACACCACTAAGCTGAGCTTTCCTCTCTGTGTGGCAAGTTCACCTCAAACTATGGTGATCAGCAAATCTTGGAATGCACGCATGATGGTTTCCAAGAACTAGGATGTCTAAAAGTAGACTCATGTGACTTATTCTAAATTTTATATTGCCACCAAATAATTATTCTTTTGGGAAAGAGTTTGCCTTCCCAAATGGTTTTTGATAATGTTTTACTTTTATTATTCACAATAATAAATGAGAAAATATACAATGGTCAAAACCGAAGACATAAAAATCCAAATTTAATATGATGAAAGATATCTTGATCATTTAGACATTCTACTTATCATTCAAATTGTGCTACAATCTCATGCATTCCTTTGTAACTAAATAAAATGCCATTTTATAAGTCATAGCTTAACTCCTTACCTGAATAAATCTGCAAATATAATTGGGTTTCAAGCAAAAACAATCACATTTAACTTACATTACTCAAACAATCCTGCAGTTCATTCTATATTTACCCTTCCCCCGCTGTTTTGTAGCATCTAGAAATTCAAAATATTTTTATTTAATTTTCCAAATTAGGTCCAACGTTGGAATTTAAAAAAGAGAGGTTGCAATATGATTAACTTTTCTTTTTCTTCACTCCCTCAGTCACCTTGGTAATCCCAATCCATGGAGACCAAAGTCAAGATGTAGATTTTTTTTTTAGTTTTAAGAGAGGAACAGTCTCAGGCCAAACTCTGTAATGTACTAGAAGAGATCTAAAAATCCCTGCATTTCACTCAGACACACTGAGAGAGAGTGAGAGAGAAGCACACGCACAAGCACAGAGAGGAGAGGGAGGAAGGAGGGGTGGTGATGAGAGAGGGAGAATGGAACGGAAGGGGATAGGGCTATGAAGAGGTATGCTGGAAATGTGTGTTGTCCCCCCCCCCCCATGCCTGCTATATCTGTTCTTCATCGGGTGACACAGAAAGTGCAAGCAAGGGACTCATCAACACTACTTTGCTGACATATTATGCAAATATCTGTTAAAATCCTAAAATGAATTCATTCAAACATAAAAGCAGTGCATTCACATTTGCAAATGTGAGACACAAATACAAAAGATCCCAAGTAATAGGCATGAAAATTCTCCACACTCCTTGACATCAAGATTGGAGTTAATTTGCCAAACACTATTGGAACAGTAGTAGTGGTACAAGCCACGTATCCACAAAAATGTAATGGCCTGCTGTGATATAAAATTTTTGCAGAAGAAAATCTGAAGCAGGTCTGGGGGCTAATGACATCTGCCAACATTTCAGTTCAGTCAGTTCAGTTGAAAAAAATAGATAAAGATAATTCTGATCCTAATGCTGAACTACAGTTTTTGTCACTTATGAATTACCCTGATTTACCTGATTTACTTGGTAAATGTTATGTTTATGGACTACATGATCTCTGATTTTGAGCTTATCTAAAAGAAAAAAAAAAGATAAATCTGTAAAATCACTAGAGGCTTTTCTATTCTCTGAGTAGATGCCAGCTCATATTTATTCAGTTTCCTTTAATCTATTATGCAATAATGTTACGTCCCAGTCTGTGGTCTATGTGTGTTTTTGTTATGTTCCACACTGCTGACTTTGATTGTTCTCCCTCCCCCATTGGTCCATCATTATACAGTACCACTGTTTCCATGTGACATCATCTTCAATTAGCTTCTCGATCAATCACAACTCATTCAGTATAAAACATGGAGGCTTTCAAGAGGAAGGAAGGGGCCTTTTGTTTGAGTTCGGTCCCACTCGGCTTTGCTTTTTGTTTTCACTTCAGGTTTGTTGTTTTGCTTTGTGTATGTGTGTTTTCGTATAGTTTAGATTTGTTGTTTTGTTGGTTTCTGTTCTTCTCTTTGTACTTCGTTTGTTTGTGTTATCCTTATTTTGCCATAACCTTGCCACCTCTGTGTTCTTTTGTACCCTGTTACTTGTCTACTCTAGTTTGTATTCATAGTTCACTTGTGTATTTGTGTGAAATTTTGTGTATAGAGTTAGTTCAGGTTGTTGGGTATGTTTTGCACACACGTAGTTGATTCTTGTATTAGTCACACTAGTTTAGTACGGGTGAGTGCAATTTGTCTAGTATGGTGTTGGGTAGTCAGTGGAGGTTAGCTAGGGTGTTGAAGACGCCGAAGACCGTCTGTTTTGGGTTTTCATTTGTTGTCAGGTTAGCTTTCCCTCACTTTCCTAGCCAGCTCCATTTTGTTTCTTATTTTCTTTTCTTTGGCACCACTCTAGTTTCCTTACCCTGTGTGTTGTTGTGTCTTATTTCATACCAGTCACTTATTCAACTTAAAATCATCACTTTTGCACTGACCCTTGTTGTCAAGCTTCCTAGTCCTTCACCAGAACCCACCTGCTTTCAAAAAATATCCTAAATGTTACACCCCTTTACCCCTAGACACTTGAGGTCGTAACAAATAAAATTAGTGTAGCTGTGTAAAAATTATTATTTCTTAATAAAATTGTGGGACACATGAAGAAAGCCAAACAAATGGTAAGAAATGACATTTTCTGCTATTTTAGTAGTATAAACACTATCAAGTACAAATTAGAATATACACTCTTGTCTTATTAAAAGCTGATATTATATATAATATATACTGAATGTATAAATATCAGATTTCATAACAGAATTAATATTTATGAATACAAATATGCTGAGAACATATTCAGGAACAACAACAGTAAATTCTCAGTGGGCAATAAGCACCCAGAAGCCTCATCATCAAATTAGTGTCTGTACTGTTCTTCTTTCTGTTCTTTTGAATTCAAAGAAAGAAAGAACAGAAGAAAGAAAACATTGTAAAAAGAAGCATTACATGTTTTATTTCAAAATGAAAACAGTGGTAAAAGAACCACTTCTTGACTCTATTGTGCTAATGTAATGTGTTTTAAATTATTAATGGATTCAGCTGGATGAAGCTTAACCCTACAGACTGTGGAATGGAAATTAAATTCTTAAATGTGGTCATATAACAACTCAGTGATTTAGCTGGGAGTGATACTATGGCTGTAGAAATTAATAGTAAGACTTTGAAAATAACTGAGTTCTTAGCAGGTAACTAGTGCAAAGAAACCAGGAAAGGTTTAATACAAGTTCTTAGTTTAAAGACTGAATATACTGCAGCTGACCAAAGTCAGTCTTTAAAGCAACAAACAGTAAAATATTACCATAACAAAATCTAAAGAAAAGATTATTCAAACTGCACCTAGTTCCTAATCTTGGAAATATATTTAATTTATATTCCATCAAATATCACAGTAACAATGTCCAAAGTTACCAACTGCGAAAGAGTGTAAGAGAGAAATTGTATCTGAAATACTGTATGTGCTGAAGCTTCATTTCTCATTTACTATATCATGAATACAGTGTCATATTTCAGTTTTAAATCTTATTAGGCCAAATGTGTTTAAGAATCAAAAACCTATTATTTTTATTTACTTTATTATAACTCTATTCTGTTAGTCCATATACTGTATAACTCCCCAAATCACAATTCAGTTAGTTGCAAAGGAGAGTCAATTAACATTATCTCAGTTTTGGTACAATTATGTGATGGAAAACATTGTCTGATCCATAAGTTAACTGCAGACATGTAAAAACAATTCAATTCATACCTAAAATAATTACTTTTGCCAAAAAAGTATGTTTTTCCTTGGGACAGCAGACCACAGTCCCACAATAAAGTCAAATGACATTGGGGAGAGACAATGACTACTAATATAATAAAAGTACCAAGATCTTCTGCACAATTTAATTCCTTCCTTGAAGATTTGTTTTCATTGGGGTTGACAAATCGATGTTTCTCATCTGTTCATGTTGTGAATGGCTATTTTAAGTCCTACAGTAGATGTGAGAAAGTTGTTTAATCACACACCATAGTGTCAACATTATTTATTGTAAACTAAGCATGCATTTAGTTTATAAATTGCATAAACTCTCCTGAGAGATTAACTGTGATTTCTGTAGCTACACACAAGAATAAATATATAAATAAAAACTAAAACTCTAGGAACTGTAGTTCTGATTGTAAATTGGAATGTACTGTATAATCACTCAATAAATAAATTCTACACTGTAAATTTATTTTCATAATATTGGGAAAAAAAAGTTTCAGAATATCTTAATCTCTTAATACTAGTACATTCCCAATAAATAAGTAATATTTTCATTGTGATGTTTTAGAAAATGTTTTATGTACTTATTCATTTCTGTTCAGAGCAGACTTAAAACATGTATTATTGTTTATTAACCATAAAAAATAAAAGAAGTACCCAATACTTTAATAAATTTGAGCTGTCATAGAGTAATTGTGAAAAGTCTTTTACTACTGCATGATTTTTATTCCGCCTGATTTTGTCACATCTCAGAACTACAGTATAAGCAAGGGTGGGCAAATTCAGTTCAGAGCTGAGACCTCTAGAAGAAACAAAGATGCTGCTTGATTTTTCATCAGGCTGCATTTACACTGTGAATTAGATCCATTATTGAATTAGTGTGCACAAAGGATTCTCCAAAGACCTTGGCTGGACTTCTCTGGTAGATTTCACTTTATAAACTTTCATAATCATACCAATTATTTTCCCCAGGAACCACAATCCCAAAATCTTAACATTAATTGGAGTTTAGGAATATAATTTCAAATTTAAGAGTTTAGGAATATAAATACTACAGTTCCTTTCAGCTAAATCTAGACAAGGATTAAAAATGAAAAATTATTGCTAAGTCTGGAAAAACATGCCAGGTTTTTTGGCAGACAGATGCCTATGAAACTATACTTGCTTTTGAATAAACCGAGAGTGATAACATAACACAGTGTGTATAGTTACACAGCAGTGCCATCTAGCAGGAGGTTTACTGAAAACTCCAAGAAGAGAAGACAGAGAGGAGATTCCCCTTTTGTTTAACCACCGATACAGTTCCAGTGCATTTCAAACAAGTGCTTGCAAAGCTTTAAATACTTTTGATGAACATCTCTAATCCAATACCTTGCTTCTGCTCTGAATTCAGCCAGTGACAAAACCATATTCTGTATAACAGTGGACTTTATATTTGAGTTTGCTTTATCTGTTTTGCACGGCTTTTTTCACTTTGTTGAAACAATCTGGGGTAATTTCAAGTTTTTTATACTTTTGTTCTTTTAAAGAAAGAATGGCTGAAGCAGTGCAAAACCCATATCTATTAAAATTACATTAACTCAAATTTAAATTTGCTTAAATTAAACAGATCACATTAAAAACGTTTCTGCATACAGAAAGAATAACTGAATGAAAAGACTTTTGCACATTAGTGTACATATATACAAAATTTTCCATCTCAATTATAAGAGGGTACAGTCCTTTGAGTCCAAACACATAGAGCAGAACATTCAGACTGATCTTAGAGAAAATATAAGATCCACCATAGCCCCACTATTTAAAGAATCACAAAGCAAAATCCCAAAGTTAGTAATCCTCCATGAAAAATCCCAAATTCCATTGCCTTCAGGAAAACTGAAATCTTAATTGCCAGCCACAGAAAAGAATACAATTTTCCTGCACTGGGTTATGTTTTATTGTTTGTCATAGCAAACCTTTAAATAGTTCGGACAACCTTTGTATTGACATTGCCAATATCAAAAGCATTGTGTTACATTCTTTGTAATGAAAATGTTACAGTTTTCATTTTAGCATAAACTATAAGTAATCAGAGAGACATCCAAATAAAAAAAATTGCATATCTAATTTTTGAACAT